TAGCTAGATTGGGCCATTGAATATCACCACGCTCCACTGAAGCCAGCTATTATTAAATGCAAGTATTATTAAATTATCATTATTAAGCCCAATTCTTAAATCAAATATTATTACTAAGCACCATTGACAGGCTGATGTATTCTGAACTCAAAACAACTCATAAACTCATAGGTATAAAACATTATTTAGCTTTAGTTAATACAGTCAGTCTTTATTATTCCTAGATCTGTATTTTCAAATTTTCCTGTTCACGAAAATGTATTTGTAACTCCTAAATCAATACTCATGGTGCTTTCACAGTTATTCACGGACATGAGCAAAACAATACATAATTTCAGTTATCCCATGAGCACATTTCCAGCTGAAGTTGAATAAGGTGATACTTTGCCTGCTTGTTTCAGCTCTCAGACAAAGCTGAACAGAGGACAGGGATGGTAGTGAGATAGTGCAAGATAGTCCTACAAACTCTTGGCAAGTTGTAGAGGAGTTTGAGTCCCAACTCTGGCCTATTAGTGGTCTCAGACAAGTCACTTAACACATCAGAACTTCATTATCTCTTTTATAAGATAAATAAAATAAAATCTACTAAGATAAATTGTTTTTAGGATTTAAGATTATAAGTTATAACTGTGTGTGTGTGTGTATGTGTATGTGTGTGTGTGTATTTACCTAGGGGAAATGGATCTATGTTCCCTAATTCAGTGTTTAAAATGACTCAGTAGAACATTACTACAGTGAATAATGCATCAACAGAATTGGCCAGACTCTACATTGCTAAGTGATAAGCATGCATTCAACACAGATCAGCTGAAATTTACCGAGGCCTATACTATGTAAAGGATTTTCATATAGATTTTATGATGAATATAAAGATATTAAAAAAAAATAACAACAACAACAACACAAACTCCTTACCCTTGAATAAGAAATTCAGTGGAGTGGGGATAGGGGATAAGTTCAACAATAAAACAAAAGCAAAGCAAGGTAGGAGAAAACAGACATAAAAAAGATACACAAAAAGTTATGTAATTGTTAGCAGTCAGAGGCTTCCTGCTGGATCCTACCTTCCACTCATCATGTATTAATTGAACATGTCACCTTCTAACCTGCATTAGAGCCATTTTTTATGTTATTTATTTATTTATGTGACTTATTTTTATGTGTCTATCTATCTATCTATCTATCTATCTATCTATCTATCTATGTAGCTATCTATCTAAAAAACAAACAGAAATATGCTAATTAACTGGCACGTTGTAACGGGTTGACTGGACAGGAGGAGATTGCGCACTCAGCATCAGGGACAGTGCGGCAGGGGTCTCCCTGTGCCTGCGCTGGAGGAGGGCCTGATTAGCAGCAGCCACAGCTGCTTCAATGGCCGGAGAATTGTGTGCTGGGCTCCTAGTTTCTTTACAATATTATAGCTGTTTGGGAGCAATGACTGGATTGTTCTTCTCTCTGCTCTCTCTGTAATCATCCCTTTGGTCTGGGTCACTCAGGCACAAACTAGTGGATAAACCAGTTATTTTGATAAATCAGTGAAGATGACATAGTATATTCCCATTTATGTCTCTTTAAGTTTTATTCACTTTTAATATTATTTCTCTCAGTACAATAACACAAGCTTTACCCCCAGGGGAGAAACAATGGAGGAATTTGTGAGCTAGTATCTCCACTAACTTCAAAGCCAGATGAAGTGAGTCCTGTATGGATTGATAAGCTCAACTACTTGCCTTCTCTGCTGAATAAAGCTTTCCTGATCTCATTATTTTAATATATTTATTATAAAATATTTCAAACATACAGGAAAATACAGAAAATTCCCTAACAAAGGTGTGTGTATATGTGTGTGTGTATGTGTGTGTGTGTATGTGAGTGTATTATCACCCACCACTATCAAATGCTAAGATATGTAAAACTTAATTAATTGCTGTTTTTTTAAGGTCTCACCACAGGTTATCCATCTTAGGTGCCAATTAATTAATTATGTGAATTAATTAATTAATAACTAGAAGTAATTTAATTCTCTTTTCTTTTTACCCCGGGATGACGCATGTTTTGTTAATACGTATTTATGTATACATAAGTAATATATGGCATTATTTTACTTATTTTAAGCTTTATTTATTTAATAGCATTTTACTCTCCTAATCTTCTGCAACTTACATAATTAAAATTCTTGATATTTATTTATGTTGATATATTTAGTTAAAGTCCTTTACTTTCCCTGAAGTATAGAATTTCAATTTGTGAGTCTATCATAATTCATTTATGAATATCTATTAGTGGACACTTAGGCTATTTGAATTTGGGATTTTTTTTTTGGTTACCCATTATTTTAACATGAACAACCTATCGTGGTTTTCAATGTAAAAGTAAAAAGGTAAAAAAATGTAACAATAAAATATAAACTTTCAATAAGAACAGGGCATAGTATTTACATTTCTCTGTTTCTATAGCATTGTCAGAGTTTTTACCTAGACTATCTTCTGAAGGAACATAAATACTCTTACAATTTAATTTTAAATGTACTAGGATCAATTTTTTAAAGTGCTAATTGTGGAATGAAAGACTATATCATGTACAATGATCAAGAGAATGGCCTTTCAATCAGAATGGGCTCCTGAATCTGCTATTGATCAGGAAATCAGTTGAGAAACGTTGGCCAAGATATTTAATCTCTTTAACTCTGTTTCTCATGAGTAAAAAGAGGATGATTGTTGAGCCATATTATAGGATTGTTGTAAATGAGATGTAAACACATAAAAGTTAAGGGTTTGGCATATACTAAAGGAGAACCAATAAATAGGGAAATATCTATATCTATATCTATCTATCTATATTTTAATTTTAGTTATTCAAACCAGCCATATTTTCACATTACACTTGGGTGACTGCTAATTTAATAGCAACTTTTAAAAAATTTTGGAGTCAACACTCCAGTTCTCCATACATTGAACCCATGAGAAATGCAATAATTTTGTAACCTTGGAAGCTAAGCATTATTAGAATTTGAAAATTTACTATCATGTGCAGAATTTGAATCCTTCACAGTTTAGGTTAAGTAGAACATCAGTGGGAAACAGGAGCCCCTTTATTTGAACACATTTAAGGATTTATAAATACTAAAAGAAGTGTTATTTTTTAAATAATATTTCAGAATATAGTTTATTGATTTCAGAGAGGAACGGAGAGGGAGAGATAGAAACATCAATGATGATCGGCTGCCTCCTGCATGCCCCCAATAGGAGGCTGAGCCTGAAATCCAAGTGGCATGTTTCTGACTGGGAATGGAACCGTGACCTCTTGGTTCATAGGTCAATGCTAAACTACTGAGCTACACCAGCTGGGCCAGTTATTTTGTTAATAACCAAACAGATACTTTGTATTGTTAATGAAATACCAAGTGTGCAAAGAAGAACTCTTGAAATGGTTGGACTTGAAAATTAGACTGAACAGAAAATAGTGGCAGTGACTTTTAAAGCCTAACCTCAGGTTCTTTATTTTAGGGATAAAAGGTTGCTTTTTAACACCGACATGTTACTAGGAAAGACAGCCATGCTGTGGCCCACCCGGATTCTGCACAAGAAAAAGCATAATATACTCCAAACAGAAATGAGTTTGTTTAGCTAAGTCTTCAATACATGTTAAAGTACTGGGACGGAAATGGGTTGGGTCTAAGCCCGTCTTTTGTATGTTAATGCGCTTTCACAGCAGAGGTATGTGAATTAACACGGACTGGAGTATTTTTGAAGAAAGACATTTATCTCCTTATTGCCTTCTGTGATGCGCTAAAGGAACACGAGGCCTGAACCAAATCTCTTGCTGACCTCTATGGTTTTTGCAATCTCCTTTTCCATAGCAGCCAGGGCAGCCTCCCTGCCAGAGCAGCACTTCTTCATGAATCCTCTCATAACGTGACAGAAGCCTCTGTCATACGTATCAACACTATTATTTTCAAAGTAAGCTCTTTAAAAGGTGGCTTGAATAAGAAAAGACAGATTTGCCAAGTTGTATGCTCTTTTGCAGTGAATGTGAGATTACAGGGTGAATGGCACTGCACGGAATGCTACCTTTTATTCGGATGCATTTTAAGTTGAACTGGGGTAGACAGTGTTAGATCTTTGATTAGTGTTCGTATGCAAGATGCAATGATTAGAGATGATTGTTCTTTTAAACTCCGAAGCAGTCTTTTCTTTTTTAATTCTTTCTTTGATTTCTAACAGATAATGATAACAAAATTTGTAATTTAAAATAGATCGGCTTTGACTCAGAAATTAATTTTCACCTTGCAAGTTTACGGATATTTACACTGTATAGCTAGATGGTAAGAAAACTGTAAAAAAAAAAAAATGATGCCAACTTTGTTTCTCTTTGTAATGATTTTATGCAGGCTTTTGCTAAACAGCCAAGAGGTTCACGTTCTTAGGTAGTTGTACTTAAATGATTATACTTCAACTCATAGTAATTTTCTTTTTATAACTTTAAGCTTTCTGTGTTTCTTCCATAATATAGATTGGAGACCACTTTTTGTTTGTTTTTTAATATATACAATTATTCTAGCAGATCCTGTTTATATCCTACTTATTCTCTATCAATATTTATGTTTTTCAATAAGGTTTTCTGTTACTGAGTTCTAATTTTGAGCATGTTTGCTGATTAATTGTGTTGTTTCTTGAAGTGACTGAAAACTATCAATAAAGGGGAAATTTCACACATCATTTTTATTTGAAAAATACTACACTGTGAAATGCTCTTGAAACTGTATGTTTTGACAAGGCCTGCTTCTAGTTAAAAGTGTCTAAAGTTGGCAGGCTAGTCTCTCAATCTAATAGGTATTTCACTTGTCATGTCATGTCAAACCGAAATTTTCCTATGGTAATATTTGACTTACTTGGCTCTAGCCACTATTAATGCTTCCTGGAGCTTGTAAAACATCTAGTTGTCACTCTGCCCATTTTAGCTTGTTTGTGCTAATGATTTATTTTCATTTTCTCTAGGATAGAGACCTGCAGCTAAGTGGATTTGATTTATAAGAGGGAATCTACAGTCAATGGCCTCTCTCCCCACGTAGCTACGATGGAAAACAGAGTGGTCAATAGGATTTGGCCTGAAAAATAGTGATGACTGAAGATGCCACTTCAGTGCATGTGAAGTCGATGGGAGACGCTAGCTGCAGGAAGAGCTTTCTGAACTGTTCTCAACAAGTTCACCTTTAAGAAATAGGAGGTGTATTCTACCCTTATAAGGTATTTCTCAAGTGGATACAGATACTTTGGCCTCACTGTAAGCGGACAACTAGACAACCGATGTGGGACCATGGCACTGCCCAGATGTATGTGGCCAAACTATGTTTGGAGAGCAGTAATGGCATGCCTGTTACACAGGGGGCTGGGTGCCTCGTTGACTCTCTGTGTGTTGGCATGTTTGCTTCAGGCTGCCCATGTACTCTCCCAAAAATTGGATGATGCAGATCCACTGGTGACTACCAACTTCGGCAAGATAAGAGGGGTTAAGAAAGAACTCAATAATGAAATCTTGGGGCCTGTTATTCAGTTTCTTGGGGTTCCATATGCAGCACCGCCAACAGGGGAGCATCGTTTTCAGCCTCCAGAGCCACCATCTCCCTGGTCAGATACCAGGAATGCCACTCAGTTTGCTCCTGTGTGTCCCCAGAATATCATCGATGGCCGATTGCCAGAAGTCATGCTTCCTGTGTGGTTTACGAATAACTTGGATGTGGTTTCATCGTATGTACAAGACCAGAGTGAAGACTGCCTGTATTTAAACATATATGTCCCAACTGAGGATGGTGAGTTTACTGCAGGAAAAACAGGGAGATTTCTATTTATATATTTTCTTTTCTACTCTAAGTTTTAACAATATGAATTCACGTGTACTGGTAGCATGCATGGCTTTTCCTGTGGGCATGTAGACATATTTTACATGCGTGCATGCTGCTCTTTTTGTTTATGTGTGTTGGTGTACCTGCTGTTTTTTTTCCCCTATGCCTATTCATTTTCTTTCCTCCACAGCACGTATCTTTAGGTAGAAATGGGTTTCTAATTTCCATTTTCTACCGAATGACTTCTGAGAAGATGCATCAACCTTTCTCCATTGCATGTGCAGGCTCAACGAATTGGGGATTTTTCGCACTCAGTAAAAAACAGGATTATATCAAGTTAGATAGTGGTGTTGCATGTTACGGCGGTCTGTGATGGAGCGCCATGTTATTTTCTAGTCTTCTATTCATTTTTCAGTAAAAAGAATATCCAAGGAATGTGCCAGAAAACCCGGCAAGAAAATATGTAGAAAAGGAGGTATGTATAAAAGTGGAAATAAAACATGGGGAAAAAGCTTGCAGAGGAAGAACAAGACATGCTCCCTAAGGATGATTTGCTGATGTTGGAAAGTGAACTGTTAGGCGATATGTGGAATTTAATGAAGCCTGTCAAAGAATAGAAAGATGGTTAAGGAACGTTCTAGCTGAGTGGATAACATTTACAAAGCTCATTGGTGGTGTGTTCTGGTGCTGGTAGCATCCACAGGTGCTGGTGGCATGTACAGGAGTTGAATCTCTGCTTTGAGTTGGTGTGTTGAGGAAAGAATACTTAGGCTATTACATTGCCTGCAAGAAGCCCGAGCAATGCTTCCTTCCTAACTGGTCATCTTTTGTTCTCTGAACCCTGTCTTACAGATAGAGATTTCTGTTCCTCGTAACATTGATACATTCAGTCACAGACGTAGTGTTTTGTTCATTTATTCTCAGCTCCTTCCGAACACCATATGAACTTTCTCATGTAAGGGTAAATTTGATATAAGCACTGGGAAATTACTATTATTAGGTAATGCATTTTTCCCCAAGACAGTCTTTTCATTTTCAGTTACTCTTCCAAAAGAAAATGAGATTTTGCAGATTTTTATACTAAATATTTACAGTCTCAAAATTACTTTAACATTTTAATATTTATGTTAAACATTTTAAAACATAGGGAAGAACATGATTCAGAAGCTACAATTAAATCAACCTTCAAATCATCCTCTAGCCAGATTGAGCAAATGTAGACACTGACAGCTGCAAGCTTGCATCTGAATGTATCTTGTCCACACTTTATTTTTATATAACATCCAGTAAATCACTCATAGGAGAGTATGATTCTCTATGGCAGTAAATCATCTAAGTTGTGTTTTTTTACCCGATTCATAACTTTGTAGAATTTCAATCTTCATACAGAAGTCATATTAATATTCAAGTTCTGTACATTCTATCTCTCTATGCACTTCTAGTCTCCTGGCTGGGCCAAGTCAGATTTTATTACAAAACCCCTGTGGGGTGGGGAATGACTACAGGTTCTATTTTACTGGGATTACTTAAATGGAAGAAGCTTTATGTAACAAAATTCTTGACTTCAGATCAGAAGTATTTGCATTGAATTGCATTTGGTTTGGTTTTCTTCTTGCTCATATATCTTTGATCATACTAGTAGAATGGGACTCAACCTTTATTTTATTATGGATACGATGGTTTGGGAGAAAATTGGAGTATACTTAAGAAGGAGGATATGGGGGCAACAAAGAAGGGTGTTTCAAAACAACTGAAACAAAGTCTGTTTTTTTCTCTCAAATGATAAACACTGCAATAATTTACATCTCTTCAACTAATGTATAATACTGCAGTGGTTATGATTATGCTGCTTATTAATTAGCTAAATGACTTTCACTTCTTATCACATAGATGTTGATTTACAGAGTCATAAATAAAGATGTTATTGATGATTGCATAAATAGAGCATAATACAAAATATTAACAATATAAATGATAAGGGGTACCAAAAGATAAGCTAGTAAATGAGAAAGTGACCTTTCTCCTCATACAATTTCAGAGGGGAATGGATTCATTAGAAAATTCTTTTTTTATTGTTCCTTGGATTGCTCGATCTATCTACTTTATGAGAGAGTTGGCAAAGAAGTTGTGCTAATTACTTTGGCAAATTTTGAACTAACTTATGATTAGCCTCAGGGCAAAAATCTATAGATCACTACTTTAATCTGTGTGGTTTATAGTCCACATTTTTTGTGTTTATGTAGTAAGCATTCTAAAAATTATTTTACTTTGGCATTTATTATATCCTATTACTATTAAATAAATTATCCTCATAGCTGACTGCATGTCATATCAACATATGAATTTAATTTTAATTTTTACAGTCTTTTTAAAATAAACAAAGCTAAAGTTTAGGGCTTTGACTTTTAAGCAGAGGAATAGATACTTTCCCCAAAAGATGACTTTTAACTATTTTTTCTTCTTTATCATGAAGGGTATATATTCTGCTAATTTTAAGAATTTATATTATCCTGAATCAAGAAAATATTAGACACTTTGTCTTTGTACATATACAAATACATATTACATATGGACTACACAATTCTTCCACAGAAGTCTAGGAGTTTATAAATGATGGTTTAGAAACTATAGTAATGGCCAAAGTGCATTTTATCTAGATGCTAATGAAATTGGGGCTTTATTATTTTTAATTGTATATGGTCACCTGCAGAGGCAGATGGAACCCACCCCTGTGCCAAGTGCACCACAATCTGTGCATACTGTACTCATTAAAAACTATTTCTTAATTGCCTATTAAAAGTAATGTGCTATTTAAGGGAGTTAGTAATGAATGAAACAAAGATCTGCCTTCCCATATTGCTTACATTCAACTATGTTTACAAAGGACAAAGCATTGTTTTTCACTTTAGTCTATACAGAAGGAAGAAAATCTTTCTTCTCCAAGAGATGTCTTGCGATGGTTTTTAATTAGGGGTTTTATAATATTTTTCTGTGCAATTGAAGGAAAACATATTTTTACCAATAAGCTGGCTTTGGTTTAAAACAAACTCCAGTTGCATTTTAATCTATCTTTTTATAGATAGTTTTAGCCATATATTAATTACTCTAGATATTTTTTGAGGGCTTTATCTTTGTAAAATTGAAAGAAAAGATGAGGCTTTAAATGAGATGACTGTCGACCCTTGTCCAGATAGGCTGATCACATGTGATAGAAACTGAAATTTGAAGGACATACATAATTTATTATAAAAACTTTATTAGAAAGTTGATTTATATTATTATTGTACAAATGAGAAAGTAGATTATGAGTTTCATGTTTTGACCCAGTTTCCACTACTAGTGTGTGGTAGAATCTGATTTGGCCCTAATTCTTGCTTATATTAGATACACTTCCATAATGTTAAATTTCTTCCAGTAGATAATTTCTGTAGCAGAGACTTGTATCTCTCCACCCTCCTACTCTCCCATTTGTTCTTCTTCTTTTGCATATTTAGATATATTGTGAATTCTTTTTATTCTATGAGTTGACTCTAAGATAGTTTTCATTCTCAACTCAATTACATTGAGTTAACCAATGTTAGCAACTGGTTTCCAAGTACTCCATTTAGTGAATACTTTTAAATGCTAAGCATATATATTTTTTTGATGTCCAAACCAAGATCCCAACATAGTCTCCTGGCTGCTTTAATTTTGTGTTTCATTTTGTTACTCTGGTTTGATCTCTTGTGAGAGTTGCCAATAGATGGTTCAATGATCAAATTATCAGCATTAAATGTGAGAAGGAACAAGAGAGCCAGAGAATCCACAGACAAATTGATTGGCTCATGGATACCCTAGAACTGTGTAACTTTGAATTTCTCTAAACTTTATTATTTTCATAGTTCATTTAAAATATTTTTATTGGTTGCAGAGAGGAAAGGAGAAAGAGAGATAGAAACATCAATGATGAGAGAGAATCATTGGTTGGCTACCTCCTGTAAGCTCCCATTGGGTTTGAGTTTATAGCCTGGGCATGTGCCCTGACCCTTGTCCTCCTGGTTCATAGGGTAATACTCAAGCACTGAGCCACACAGGCTGGGCTTCATAATTCTTTTGATATGAATACAGGATAATTTTTATTTCTGCAGTGGCAATAAATTGCTTTTTTTAATTTTTCCCAATTTTTATTGTACAGAAAATAATAATCTCAATAGATGGCTCTGGTACCATTCTTAACTCATTGAGCATTTTATTCCTGATTTTCATACTATTTTATTTTTATATGCTATGTTTAGTAGTCTTTACCTGAGATAATTTTGAATTCATTCAAAAGCCTTTCTACAGTTTTAGGGTTTTTTGGTTGTTTGTTGAACAGAGACTGCTTTTCCCATAATTAAATATGTATGTCTCCTATCTCTGTCTGTGTGTCTAGGATTTTAAAAGGAGATTATATTCTAAAATGTCCTTCCTTCTTGCTTATATATTTAAAGTAACTTATTTATTTATTTATTTATTTAACAAATATTTATTAAGTTCTTTCTCTGTGCTAGATCCCAGAGATACATCGCAGAAACAAACAAATGAAAAACAAAACAAAAAATGTTTATATCTCTGTGTAGAGTTTATAAGATTATATCTCTGTGTAGAGACACATGTAGACAATAAATGACTAAATTTAAAAGGTGTAAGAAGATAAGAAACAAACAAACTATGGAGGTTCAAGAGTACTGGTGTGGAGGGTGAAGGCAATTTTAAATACACTAATCAGTATAGTCCTCATTAGGAAGGAGATGAAGTGGGTATCTGGGGGAAAAGCTAGTGCAAAGGCATTAAGATGAGTGTCTATCTTATGTATTTAAGGAACATCTAGTAGTATAGCATTTCTGAAAAAATAGAAGTAATAAGATTAAAAGGATCTGAGTTTATATTAAAGAGATAATTCTGGATCATGTATTAAAAGTAGATTGAACAAATTTGACTAAAACCGA